CGCCAGACTTTTGCAATTTCATCTTTCAACAGTTGGTATTTCTCTAACTTCTCAAGTTCCTTATCTTTCACCCTGTCATCATCATCAATTATGACAACCTCTCTCTACTTCTTATCAATAAAGGCAATGTCTGGTCTTCTTGGTGCAGGCGAGAATTCTACCACTGAACCACCAATGCCTTGTTGACTAATAATGATTAAGCAACAGTACCTAAAGCGACTATGTCTCCTGCAGTTTTTTCTTTCCTCTTTCGTGGTTAGTATTTCAGTGAGGTCGAAGTGAAGTGTCACTACCAAGGGGCTCAACACAGTTAACATCTTTTTAAAAGAAAAAGTGCGATGAAAAGCTCAGAGAACCTCATTAATGTATTGTCTTATTTACGTATTTTGTGCATGTCAATTTTGAGTTTTATACCCGAGTCTTAAATAAACCCCAAAGAGTGGTAACGATCCACAACCCATCAAACTGTGCCAGACGTCAGTCACTTTAAGCAAGACACTTTTCGCCTGGAGATTCGTTTTAAGGAGTTTACTGTTCAGCCACACCCTCCTGGTTTAGGTCAAGTCATGACTTAAGTTACCAAAAAGAACAAGTTTCGTTTTGTTTTAGCTTTTTTCTCCTTTCTTTACTTTTGCACTTCAAGAATATAAGAGCTTTGAGGTTCATCTATAAACACTCGAAAAGGCAATAATAAATAAAAGCTCCTACCTGTTAGCTCGCTCTTTCTATCAGTAGGTAGAGTACAATACTCGTAGTTCCTAAACTCCTTTAAAAGAGGAGCACCGCCAAAGAGATCAGCCTTCAAGGAATGTGAAATATAAATACCGATTACATTAAAATTATGATTACAAAAACAATCTGAAGGACTAGTTTAGCTGGCGCTGAATCAAAATTCTATAATTTAATACTAGTTCAAGTATTATTAAATTGGAATGTTAAAACACGAGCCACCTGGAATGGATGCACGCCAAACATTCAAGGTGACCTTAAAAGTTTGGCAAGTTGAAAATATAATTATTTAAAAAAACAACAAACAAACGAGCTTGCAGGTACATACGCGGCTAATGATTCGGTGATTTAAAATGAAAATGAGAAACAAAAAAGTAATATGTTTTAGGACTGTTTAGCTCGAACGTGAACAAAACGTTTAGGTTTGCTTAGTATACGTGTATAAGAACTCCTTTACAAAAGGCCGGACGTTTTACGAGGTCGACTGTATTAAATTCTTGGCAAGACTAGGTCAGTAAATACCATAAAAGGAAATGAAAATAAACAGGAGCACAAGATTAACTTAGAATATTCGCTAGTTAAATAAAGAGCGCAACGCACGGATCTCAGAAAACACAGTCTACTGTTCAGCTCTCGTAATGCCGCATTGTCTCACGGGTTTGTTGATTCTCTGTATTTCTGGAGTATCACTTGCAACTACCACCTCACCTCAGCAGCAAAACAGTGCAAAGATAAAAGATTTATGTGAGGTAAGATATAATTGTCCTGCTTCAGCTGATATTTCTTTTGTCTCCACGCGTAGTGCGTAAAAACAGCTTGAAAGGTAAATTTTCCATCACTTCCCTCTCCGAAAAAAGTGTTCTCACTTACCTTAAAGTATTCGAGCACAGGTTTTATACCGTGTCACTTAAATGGAATCGCAGCTCCCATTTCATTAATAGATAATATTGCATCCAAGCATCTTTTTGTATTCTTTGCGTTCTGAAATGGGCTGTTTATCTGAATAATCCCCTTTTGTGACCTGGTCAATGTCTATCTTACATTGATAAACTCGATCTTGGAATTTCGGGTGCTTTTCTTTGTCGATTCTTTGCTTATTAAAATCCAAGATCAGATCAAACGACGATTAGATCAAGTATACTGCTTTAGACCGGTCAAATGAAGAACAATCTTGCAATACGATATCTACTGGAAAGGTAAACCCTTACAAGTTGCGTAGCAGTCTTGTCTTGAGAACTAGAACAATGTAGGTCCTATTTGTATTGCGCAATTTTACCACTCCGATAAAACAAATAAAATTGATCGTTTAATCCATGCCTCGGGTAGATAAATGGCCGTATAAAGATGAGAAGTGTAGTCAAACAGCTGATGTATGTACTAAAATTGTTTCAAGTTACCTCTAGCAGTTTTCACACTTTTCGGATCCGTAGTAAAGAAACGCTTCGGATCACATATCCGGTATTGGATGAGATCCAAAGAATCCACCTCGGTTTTATTAGAATCCGAAAAAAACGGAGGTGGATCACTGTGGATCATTTAGACTGATTAATAATCCACTTTTGAATTTTATTAAAGAAACGCACCCTTAATACGCTGTGTCAGCCTACCTGTCTATTTAATTAAGAGCGCTATGTATGACGCATTGGCGTTACGTTAAATCACCCTGGTGACGCGATGACCTGCATGCACGGCATGCACCACCACCCAGAATCACCTTTATACCACTTACTACCTCACACACGTGCTAGCCATACAATTTGCACAGTAGGCACAATAATAGATTGCAAACCAGCCTTTTTTTTTTCTTTTTTTTTTTTTCTCAAGCTGAAATCGGTCTAGTGTAACGTAAGAGTAGCATAGGAGCCTCACGCGCCTGAGGCGAGAGAAGCAAAACCGACTGCCCGTTTTCCATACAATGAGTTCGTTCTGACCAGGGGCTTCAAAAAATGTCGTCGAGCTGTCAAAAATCTATTCAAAACTTCACACTCTTTGTAAATTTGATAAATACGGTGATTGATTTCGCGAGAGAATAGCACGTGTTATTGTTTGCACTTGGCTTCGAATCTTGTGATTAACGCCGCTGTATCCAGTAGTTCATCCAAAGTAGCATTGAGCGTTGTTTCCGTGTGCAATGTAGTGTTTTCAAGAAGAAAAAAAATGAGTGGAAGTGGTAGTACACCGACAAAGCCTGTGCCTGTTTCTCGAAGAGGGAGAAAGCCGAGCCCAGCGCTTCAGATAATTGTAGAATGTGCGACTGTTGTTTCATGACAGTTCGACAATTTTAAGAGTGGATCGATAAGCTCTGAAAAAATGTTTATTGCCGCTGCTAGAAAAAAAGGTCAAACGTTACCAAAGTTGGCCGACCTTCTGATAAACAAACTTTTTGATGTCCTCGACGAAGGACAATCTTTCTCCGCAAGAGTTTTCTCGCCGTGCGGAACAAAGATTAGAAAATGCGCTGCGATGCCTTCGCAAATTAGAAAAAAACTGAACCCGCCAATGAATAATGAATTCATCACAGTAGGAAACATCGCGAATGACTTGTTGGAAACATAACTTCACACCTTTTTAACAGCTTGTATCAAAATTTATCTTGTGGGAATTGCCCGTGGCTGGGAGAAGTAAGCAATTCAAACGAATATAAAGTACATATGCAAAACGGACAGTCCGTTTTTTTAGCGTCTCTCCCTAGTCTCGCTCTCCGTTTTCATCCTCGCTCCAGACCTCCGCACTTGAATACGCAAAAATATGCACTGTTTTGAAGTCTACCACAGTAATACCACCCTGTCATTGTGCTGTACGGAAAGGAAGCAAAGTACTTAGTAAGAACGTAGTTTCCGCCCTGAAATTAGCCAGTACTTTCTCTCATACTAAAATGTAACCTTCACTGAAATTTCCTTTGAAGTTAAATTCGTCCGAGTTCAACATGAGCTGGTTTTCATATGTTTCTATGAATCCCATTATCGCCATCCTTTTCTACTAACCAATAACACTTAAGTTCTTTAAACACGGGAAAGTGCATTGATCTCCCTCAATACATGTGTTATAACCGGTCACAGCTAGAATACCTATGTTTGGGGGATTATGGAATTTAGAATCTATTTCTTTCTTCAGCTCTCCATTTAACTACAGTTGCTTATTTTCAGAAATCCATACTTGGTCATGGGTTTCCTGGTATTCCAGGATCAAATGGCATGCCGGGAATGCCTGGTACGCCGGGGCCGCAAGGACCCCAGGGAAGGGAAGGCGAGAAAGGACAGATTGGTGATAAGGGATCACAAGGAATGCCGGGTCCAAGAGGAGACAGAGGACGCGAAGGGCCTCCTGGGACGAGCGGACCGCCAGGAATGAAGGGCATAACAGGTGAACCAGGAATTCTGGGAATGAAAGGAGAGCAAGGCATTGTGGGAAATCAAGGAAGAAAAGGAGACAAAGGAGAGAAAGGAGAAAGCGTCAAAGCAAGTCAAGCAAGTGTAGTACCTCAAACCAACTGGAAACAATGTGTGTGGAAATCGGAAACCGAAACTGATAACGGGAAGATCAAGGTAAACAAGAAATATGCTAAATAATTGCTATGGATGACAAGACAAGACGATCTCATTTAATAGAAAATTTAAGGTTTTGCTGAAATTAACTTGGAGTCAATTAATTAGCTCAGAGAAGATAAATCTCCTTCTCCTTCCCGTGATCATTACTCCGTTTAACCTCTTTCAGTTGATGATTATTTCCTTTCCCATTTAGTATTACAAGAGTAGAGACGTTACTAAATAAATTTAAATTGTTTTCCAGGAGTGCGCTTTTAACAAATTAACATCTGATTCAGCGCTCAAAGTCTCATTCCAGGGAAACATGAGGGTCAATGGTGATACTAAGTGTAATCGGTGGTATTTCAAGTTCAATGGAAACGAATGTAGTGGACCAATGACGATTGAGGCTGCTGTTTACAACAACTGGTCATCTGGGAACCATAATCTGTTGCATCATCGGTCATTTGAGGGATACTGTGAAAACATTCCACAAGGCGCCGTGAGAGTGGAATTATGGGTAGGAAAGTGTAGTAGTGGCTACACCCTGGGTGATGCTTACACCGGATGGGAGTCAGTGTCCCGGATAATGATTGAAGAAGTATCTAGGCCCCAGTCATAGTCTTCCCCAGTCTTCGGCCAGGTTTTTTATTTTTATTTTCTGTTTTTTTTTTTCTACAGTCGCTGAACACCAGTGTCAAGGGTTTGCACGATCTCTGCATGTGTAATTCCCATCTTCATATTTAAAACTTAACTGATAAGTAAAAAATGAGTCAGTTTTTTAACAATTCAGGCTATCCTATTTCTTGAGATCGACCATTTTCGTGGAATTGTAAACTTGGGGTAAAAATAAAGGTCTTAGAATTTTTTGTTTACCTGAAACAAATGAAAGGCAAGCTAAGACCATGGCTTCCTTTGGAAAATGTTCTAAATCATACTTTTCTTGAAAAATAAGATAACATTTTGGTACTTAAACAAGTCTAATGAGACGTATTTAACCAGACACGCAATGTTAGTTCTCTGCGCACAATTGACTCTGATGCGTGTTCGATATAGGTGTAGCTTTAACCTCCACATTGAAAGAAAAATTGACAGGAAAGAAGATTAGATCAAAAGAGGAGTAGGAAACCTGAACTTTTCCATAGTCGTGATCCGAGTGATAGACCATTTCCGGGTCACGCCAAAAAAAAAAAAAAAAAATACTGCCTGCTAGTAAAATTTATAGCAAAAGTGAAAGAGTTGAATGTAATTAAAGCATAACTTGAGTATTCTTCTATTCACAGTTGCATCTGTTGAAAGAAATGGGACTTTACTTTTCTCTCTTTCTTGTAATAGAGAGTCTTTGTTATTGTTCCTTTTTTAATTGTGTTAGTGCGTTGGCTTCAAATGTACATCAGATTTTTAGTAAAAAAAAAATATATATATATACACATGTCGTCTTTGTTACTTCTACCGAAGCCAAATGAGGTTGAAATTTCCGCTTCTTTGAAGGTTGAAAAGCAAAAATAATCTATTCTATCTATTTTATATGTTGGCGACGATCTGATTGGTGAAAATCGACTTAAGAAAATTGGCCATGCGTCCAGCTGTCTTTTGGGGGAGGAGGGCGAACTAATTTAACACATCGGAAACAACAGATGCCACGGACGGGCAAAACTGAAGATTGAAACGGATTGAAATTAGGATTTCTGAAAACTGTTCAGCCTTACAGCTTTTCAAAGTTGATCCCTACTGCTTGCAACTTCAAAAATATTGCTCGGGAGACACATTTGTTTGTCTCTGATCTCTGATTTTGTCATTTATATGTAATTTCTTTGCTTTCTTTAAGTTCAATAGCGATTGAGGGCGACTGTAATTAGCAAAATTAAACAAAATGAACTGGACTGCCGTGACACAGCCCCTTTAATTGACAGTTTTGGATCAGTTAAAAGAAATAGGACGTTGTTTTTCTTTTGATAGAGTTCTCCTGATTTTTCACTCATATTTGTTAGTGCATTCAGTTTCCTTCAATGTGCAAGGCTTTCAGTAAAAGGTAATTTTACTACACATGTTTTTTATTTTTTTATTTCCAACGAATTAAACCCCAATTAGGTTCAAATTTCTTCATTTATCTCTGATCAGGTTTAATTTTGACTGACCTTCCCGGGAAGAAAAATTTTTCTTGCAGCCTGCTCGATCTGATAGGCAGACAACGATCTGACTGGTAAAAATCGACCTTCGCGAATCTGCGCGTCCAGCCCTCTTTTCTATCGGTTGAGGAGTAACAAATCAAGTTCCTAAAAAGAGGCTGATGGTAATCAAGCAAAGAATGTGATGAAACTCATGGAAACATACGCAACCTCATTTCCAGCCAATACACAAGCTCATTTCCATTTTCGTTCTTGATTCTTTCTTGATTCATGGCTCAAATATAAATAGGTAAACTTTTAACTAGAAGTGTCTAACAATAATCATCATCTTTATTGAGGAAACTTTTTCATAAAAGATATGGTTTTCAAAAAGGACCTCAAGGAACTTTCATCGGAAATGTGGAGAATGGTACTGGACATATTTTATAAAATATCTAAGACAGTACGCACGCTCTGATTAGCCAAGAGGCGTGACATCAATATTTTTTTCTCTCTGTTTTGTTTGATTGTTTTTAAATTGTCTGTTTCTTTTTCTTTCTTCCCCTTTTTTTACTCCTTTTTTTTTTTAGCCACCTGGAATGGATGCACGCCAAACATTCAAGGTGACCTTAAAAGTTTGGCAAGTTGAAAATATAATTATTTAAAAAACAACAAACAAACGAGCTTGCAGGTACCTACGCGGCTAATGATTCGGTGATTTAAAATGAAAATGAGAAACAAAAAAGTAATATGTTTTAGGACTGTTTAGCTCGAACGTTAACAAAACGTTTAGGTTTGCTTAGTATACGTGTATAAGAACTCCTTTACAAAAGGCCGGACGTTTTACGAGGTCGACTGTATTAAATTCTTGGCAAGACTAGGTCAGTAGCTTTTTAAAAGATAAATACCATAAAAGGAAATGAAAATAAACAGGAGCACAAGATTAACTTAGAATATTCGCTAGTTAAATAAAGAGCGCAACGCACGGATCTCAGAAAACGCAGTCGACTGTTCAGCTCTCGTAATGGCGCATTATCTCATGGGTTTGTTGATTCTCTGTATTTCTGGAGTATCACTTGCAACTACCACCTCACCTCAGCGGCAAAACAGTGCAAAGATAAAAGATTTATGTGAGGTAAGATATAATTGTCCTGCTTCAGCTGATATTTCTTTTGTCTCCACGCGTAGAGCGTAAAAACAGCTTGACAGGTAAATTTTCCATCACTTCCCCCTCCGAAAAAGGTGTTCTCACTTACCTTAAAGTATTCGAGCACAGGTTTTATACCGTGTCACTTAAATGGAATCGCAGCTTTCATTTCATTAATAGATAATATTGTATCCAAGCGTCTTTTTGTATTCTTTGCGTTCTGAAATGGGCTGATTATCTGAATAACCCCCTTTTGTGACCTGGGCAATGTCTACCTTACATTGGTAAACTCGATTTTGGAATTTAGGGTGCTTTTCTTTGTCCATTCTTTGCTAATTAAAACCCAAGATCAGATCAAACGACGATTAGATCAAGAATACTGCTTTAGACCGGTCAAATGAAGAACAATCTTGCAATACGATATCTACTGGAAAGGTAAATCCTTACAAGTTGCGTAGCAGTTTTGTCTTGAGAACTAGAACAATGCAGGTCCTATTTGTATTGCGCAATTTTACCACTCCAATAAAACGAATAAATTGATCGTTTAATCCATGCCTCGGGTAGATAAATGGCCGTTTAAAGATGAGAAGTGTAGTCAAACAGCTGATGTATGTATTAAAATTGTTTCGAGTTACCGCTGGCAGTTTTCACACTTTTCGGATCCGTAGTAAAGAAACGCTTCGGATCCCATATCCGGCATTAGATGTGATCCAAACAATCCACCTCCGTTTTATTAGAATCCAAAAAACACGGAGGTGGATCATTGTGGATCATTTGGACTGATTAATAATCCTCTTTTGAATTTTAGTAAAGAAACGCACCCTTAATATGCTGTGTCACGAGGAAAAACAGCCTACCTGTCTATTTTATAGCGCTCTTAATTAAAATTAAGAGCGCTACGTATGACGCATTGGCGTTACGTTAAATCACCCTGGTGACGCGATGACCTGCATGCACGGAATGCACCACCACCCAGAATTACCTTTATACCACTTACTTCCTCACACACGTGCTAAGAGTAGCGTAAGAGCCTCACGCACCTCAAGCGCGACACGCCCGTTGGGTGTGTGAGGTGAGGCGAGAGAAGCAAAACCGACTGTCCGTTTTCCATACGATGAGTTTGTTCTGATCAGGGGCTTCAAAAAATGTCGTCGAGCTGTCAAAAACCTATTCACAACTTCACACTCTTTGTAAATTTGATATACGGTGATTGATTTCGCGAGAGAATAGCACGTGTTATTGTTTGCACTTGGCTTCTAATCTTGTGATGAACGCCGCTGTATCCAGTAGTTCATCCAAAGCAGTATTGAGCGTTGTTTCCGTGTGCAATGTAGTGTTTTCAAGAAGAAAAAAATGAGTGGAAGTGGTAGTACACCGACAAAGCCTGTGCCTGCTTCTCGAAGAGGGAGAAAGCCGAGCCCAGCACTTCAGATAATTGTAGAATGTGCGACTGTTGTTTCATGACAGTTCGACAATTTTAAGAGTGGATCGATAAACTCTGAAAAAATGTTTGTTGCCGCTGCTAGAAAAAAGGTCAAACGTTACCAAAGTTGGCCGACCTTCTGATAAACAAACTTTTTGATGTCCTCGACGAAGGACAATCTTTCTCCGCAAGAGTTTTCTCGCCGTGCGGAAAAAAGGTTAGAAACTGCGCTGCGATGCCTTCGCAAATTAGAGAAAAACTGAACACGCCAATGGATAATGAATTCATCACAGTAGGAAACATCGCGAATAACTTGTTGGAAACATAACTTGACAGCTTTTTAACAGCTTGTATCAAAATTTATCCAGTGGGAATTGCCCGTGGCTGGGAGAAGTAAGTAATTCAAACGAATATAAAGTACATATGCAGAACGGACAGTCCGTTTTTTCAGCGTCTCTCCCTAGTCTCGCTCTCCGTTTTCATCCTCGCTCCAGACCTCCGCACTTGAATACGCAAAAATATGCACTGTTTTGAAGTCTACCACAGTAATACCACCCTGTCATTGTGCCGTATGGAAAAGAAACAAGGTACTTAGTAAGAACGTAGTTCTCGCCCTGAAATTAGCCAGCACTCTCTCTCATACCAAAATGTAATCTTCACTTAAATTTCCTTTAAAGTTAAATTCGTCCAAGTTCAACATGAGCTGGTTTTCATATGTTTCTATGAATCCCCTTATCGCCATCCTTTTCTGCTAACGGATAATACCTCAGTTCTTAAAACACGGGAAAGTGCATTGATCTCTCTCAATACATGTGTTATAACCGGTCACAGCTAGAATACCTATGTTTGGGGGATTATGGAATTTAGAATCTATTTCTTTCTTCAGCTCTCCATTTAACTACAGTTGCTTATTTTCAGAAATCCATACTTGGTCATGGGTTTCCTGGCATTCCAGGATCAAATGGCATGGCGGGAATGTCTGGTACGCCAGGGCCGCAAAGACCCCAGGGAAGGGAAGGCGAGAAAGGGCAGATTGGTGATAAGGGATCAAAAGGAATGCCGGGTCCAA